ACTTGGCATTCTTTCTACTATCATTTGGTGTCGAGCACCCTACGATGGACTAACTGAATTCCACCATACTCTGCATTCCCGCACTGCTACTGACTAGAAATCCTGCTATTCCTTATCTGGCTTCCGGATGAACTGAGACCATCCTGGTCCCTACCAACCTATCAATATCTGGATTACCGACTCTCACCGATTGCTGACCCAGCACAACCACTAGTCGCTCCCAGCGACATTCGAAGAAACTTCCGCCACATATACTGCTCAATCTATTCTACCATGCTGGCAATACAATTTCCTGGGATCCCCGATCCCCTTATCTAGACACTAAGATCTTTACTAGGTCCCACCTGTTCTGCTAAAACTCACAGGCCTCGCCCACGGGTCTCACCCAACCATACTACTGAGCAAGCCTGCTCTCAGGTCTCACCTATACTGCTATTCTCATACGGGCCTCGCCTACGGGTCTCACTCGACTATATCCTAGAGCAGCCTCTCCCAAGGTCTAATCTCTCAAGGGCTATACAGGCAACTCCTTACCATTCTCATCCATTCCCCATTCCCGATCCCTATCTGAATGCTAGGAGATAAGCGCCTCGCCCCGACTCTGCCAACGAAGCTACTACGGAATGCTACGGCTGCCCCGTAGTCTGACAACACTTCCCACCACTGACTGCTAGTGAATGCTACGGCCGCCCCGTAGTCTTACATCACTTTCCACCACTGACTGCTGCTGAAGAAAGCCGAGGCTCTCCCGCCACTCTTTCATGCTCTACATGCTGCTTCTGCCACAGACTGCTAACACGAAAACATCTCCTGCTATTTGACCTCAAGATCTCCATTCCGACTCACACGAGTCCCACAGGCGACCCTTCAACCTGAATCCGAACCACATACTCACCATTACCCTTTAGACACACGGACTCATGGGGAGTTTCTCAAACTCCAAACCCTAAACTACTCAATCCGTCAAACGCTGAACTACCTCCTTTCCTCCTCGGAAATCACATACTCGATCTAGATTTGCGTGCTCTTACCCTTATACACTCGGAGGATTCTCCCCCACTTCGGTCCTTCTTACGCCTCGATGCTCAATGAAGAGAAATCGCAATCCTTGCTACCATAATCAATCCGCTGAGGAATCCCAAGCTTACCATAGCTAAGGATCTAACCTGTCCATTCTAAAACTTATATGGCTCTGAACTAGCGATACATACCGAGTCCCTCCAAGGCATGCTATAGATACTGTACCCTAAGTAACCTTCTTTGATACAACCCATCCCTTAACTACTAACCAATATCCAAGGTATGCACATGGCATATAACTCGATGACAATCAAACCGCTCAAATGAAATGCTCATACAGATAATGATGCAGAACCATAACAATATAACATCATGCACAAACAGAAGAACTGAAAATGGAAATCACATACCTGCAATGTCCGGCGCTGCTCGCGTCTCCAAGGTAGCCATCTGAAAATCCCTGCCTCCTATCGCAGGCGCCTCCGCACGGCCCTGACGGCCATCTGTGATCCTCAACGTTGCAGGGGTAGGTGCCATCACCCATCCTACTGAAAGCAAACTGGGGTACTGGGCCTTCTTGTGGCCCCGCTGATTGCAGTGAAAACATATCAAGTCTGATCCCTGGGTGATGGTAACAGTACAATCTCTGCTAAAATGACCAGTCCGACCGCACCTGAAGCAGCCAGACTCACCACCACTACCACTCCTGCACGCGCCCCCGTGCCTCCTACCACACTTTCCACATCGAATTCGGTCCTGATGATCCCTCGATCTTGAATCCGATCCCTTGGGCCTTTTTCCCAAACTCGCAGCTACCTGAACCTCATCCGGCTTCCTCTTTCGGATCTGCTCCAAATCAATTTCCCTCTCCCTGGCCCGAGAAATCATATCTTCCAGCGTCTTACAACCGGACCTGCTCACGAACTCCCTGATGTCATCCCTCAGCATCTCATGATATCGTGCCTTCTTCATCTCCTCATCCACGACATACTGCGGAACAAGAAGGGCTCTCTCCCTGAACTTGGTGGTGATCTCCGCCACAGTCTCAGTAGTCTGCATCAAATCCTGAAACTCCCGGGCCAACTGCTGCACCTCAATAATCGGTGAAAACTCCGCTCTGAACCTAGCCGAGAAATCACTCCAAGTCATCGCGTCCAACGCGGCATCATCACCCAAAGCATGACCAATCTCTTCCCACCAATCCCTCGCTCTGTCCTTCAGAAGACAGGAAGCGAGTCTGACCTTGTCCTCCTCAGGACACCGGCTCGTACGGAATGCGTTGGCAACATCAGCCAACCATCTACTGCTAGCGATGGGGTCCCTAGCCCCATGATAATCTGGTGCCCCGCAAGCCCTGAACTCCCGAAATGTCAAGGTACGCGCTCCCAACAAAGCCATCATCTCAGTATGGAAGGCTCCCAGCCTCTCATCCAAAATCTCCAATATACCCTCCTTGACCGTGTCAAAGATCACAGGAGTCTGAGCTAGAATACTGCGCGTAACCTCGGCTGATATCAACTCTCTCATCCGCTCCTCGAGCTGCTCGGCCCCTAAACCCGAGCCCAATCCCTCTCCGGCGCTTGATCCGCCCACTGGTCCCTCTTGCAATGTCACCATACTGAAACATATAACATAACCATTATCAGAATACTCCTCACTGCTGCGAGACCAAACATACTCACTACCAGGTTCCCGGTCTTGTCTCGGCCTTTCTCGAAACGAGTACGGATCCTCTGCTTTTAGTAGTACGGGCCCATACTACCTTCCACATCTATCCGTACTTTCCTCAAGAACTGCTTTGACTCCACCAGGTCCCTTTTCTACTTCTACTGCTCCCAGCACTACCTCATCCTAGGCTTACCCTAGGGAAACCTCTGACTCAACTCAAACCAGCCCTCAGCTGCTGAAGGTCCCCTTGTGATGCCAATTAGCCATCACATGGATACCGTCACATGTGACGAGGCTCAGATAATCCTTCAAGTAGAGGACTCGTTCCAACAACGGTTGGACTCAAACAAGAGCTCCGCAATAGGACCAAATCCAACACTCTGAGATTATCCAACCCTGATCACATGTGACGTACCGTATCCACCTAATGGCTAACTCCCATCACTCAGAATCCCACCATGCACAAAGCAAGCAGCACTACTAGAAAAACAGCCTTTTACGACGCTCATTGCGCGTCGTAAAAGGCTCAGACGATGCGCAAATGCGCGTCAAGGAAGGCCCTATCATAAAGAGAGACGACACGCTTTTGTGCGTCGTCTATAGACGACGCGCTTTTACAACGCTCATTTACGACGCGCAATTACGACGCACGTTTATGACACGCAATGCGTATCAAGGAAGGCCCTGTCATAAAGGAAGACGACACGCATTCGCATGTCGTATCCTTACGACGCGCGTGTTAATGACATGCAATGTGTATCATTAAAACCCCTGTCAAGAAAGGCCATGTCATAAATGAAGATGACACACATTTTTGCGTATCGTAAATTTAAATGTTTTAAAAAAATATATTTATATATTTATTAATTTTTTAAATTAAATTTACTTTTACTGTCTCATAATAGAAATAAAATACGATACAAAAAAATACAATCCATTGCATAAAATTTAATGTCGTATAATTCTATTTCTTACAATATACAAATTTGCATTCATCTAATCTACTCTGTGTTGCATACTAACAATTCAAATGATGAATGCAACACTTGCATTTGCAGCATCTTATCTCTTTCAGCCTGAGCTTTCTTTTCCTCTTCTAACTCCTTAGCTATTCGCTTTCATCAACCCTGTAAACACAACATAAAATCACTTGTCATTTTCATTCTACTTTTAAATTAATTCTTATTGGGACATTCTACTTTTAAACCTACCAAATGAGAACAACTAACTAAATGAGAACAATGACACCTTTAAAAGAAGTGTGCATCACCTTTAAAACAAGTGTACAACTGTTTGAAAACATAGTAAAAGAAATCAATTAAGAAGAAAAAAAGTGTGCATCACCTTTAGAAATGTCAGCAGTGAAGTTAATGGATTCTGAAGAAGAAAACTTTGTTCCGCTAAATGGTCTAAACCCACGTATATCAAAATTTAATGTCATCATAATGTAAGGAGCTACAACATGAATTAACTACATTTTAGTTTATGTCACGAAAATGAGGAGGAAGGATAGGTTGTTCACCCAAATTCATGGCAAGACAGCTAGTGAAAAGGAAATCCGAGAAAGTAGTCACGATGAACATATGTTTGATCTTCCGCAGGTCCATGCCAACTAACTTCATTGGTCCCTTTCAAATGGCCTAGATCAATTTCCAAGAAACTGCATCCATGAAAGAAACACTAAGAAACCATTTTCAAAAGATGTTTAGGGAAAGAGCTACATAGTGGTTGTATACACATGCTTTAAAGCCTTACATTGGCTATATACACGTGCTTTAAAGCCTTCTTGACCTGATCTGGTCTTGCAGAGTAGACTGGAAGCACACTTTCACTTTTAAATTTATGAAATTTCCAACATTTTGTATATAATTGAAATATTTAATTTATGAAAGGTAATATCTGAATTGATTATATACATACCATGCCAGATTCTTGGCACATTTGGACCAACTGATGACAAAAACTGTGAGCAACACCATCTGGAATAATTCTTGAGAAGTTGATACAAGCCTAGTAATTAACAACACTTCCATTTATAACTTTTTGTGTCATAAAAATTGTATAATATTAATTATATAATAAACAATTGAAATGTTATTATCCTAAGGTTTGTACACTTCCTTCTTTATTTGATAATTGGCAGCTTCCAAAAACACAATCACTAAACCCCGGCCAAAAAAGTTAGGGAGAATTCACTATATACCTTTATTAAACGTTTAAATATCGTATTTGCCCGACCTAAACTCTAAATATCATATTTGCCATTATTAATGTTTTAAAAAATCTAATTTGCCCAACAATACCCTTACCTTCTAAATCACATTAATTCGTTTACCAGCTGTGATGTGCAAAGAACCATAAAATCTGAACTCGCATAGAAAACTCAGTCAAAACCATCCGATAAATCATTCAAATCTACAACTAGAACTAGATAAATCAAGACAAAAAGCCACTATGTGAGTTTTTACCTGGTGGGTGCATTTTGTCCCCTGCTGCTACCACCACCAACCTGGGTATAAAAAAAATTCAACTGAATCAAACAGTAAACAACCCCAGTGAAAAGAATTGAGTTATATACCAATTTGTTTACCTCTAAATGGATTATTATAGAGACTTATACTGAAGTATTACCTACAAAGTATTGAAAAGGTATTCTAATTGCTCCATGTATCTCTTCCTGTCAACAGTAGGAATTTTATTCCCCAAAATGCATTTGGCATTTGATAGCAAATAACTCAATTTCCTTGGTTTTATATGGCTATCATTGCTATCTAAGTGCAATAAGCAACATGACAAAGATATTATCTTAAATTGACCTTAACACCACTATATGGTAACCTCAGGTTTAAATGAAAATTAGAAGTGCAGAACCAAAATTAAGTCTTTGCTTTGGACTATTAACCTAATCGAATGACATATATGTAAAAGGCATTGTGAAGATACTACAGGGTTTCAAGAATTCAATATTGTAGACGCATAAGTGTTGATTCAGTTGCCAAAATAATGGGAGATATGGAAAGGGAATAATTACATGGTGCTTATTAACAATTGAAAGAAGGAAGCGATGAGAGGAAAAAAGGAAGATGTCTAGAGGCGAACGTCCATAGGTGATCATGAGGAAGAGTGGAAGACGAATTGAGGAAGACAACCAAAGCATAAAACCTTGCTGGAAAGATTCATGCAATTTAAAAAGGAAGGGTATTATGGTCCATTAAGTTATTATTTTCAATTTTAGTGATTTTAAATTCTAAAAATGGTTTATTAAATAATAAAAACTATTTAAAAAACAGATTTGGGCAAATTTGATATTTTAAAACATTAAGAAGGACAAATATGATATTTAAAGTTTAGGTTGGGAAAATGTAGAAGATTCATGATGGTAGTTTTAAGTTGACACTTGTCTAATGCCTGGAAATCCATTAGAATAACCATGTTAAGTTGACATTTTAAGCTGACATTTTTTTTATTTTTAAATATTGTTATTAAAAAAAAAAAGTAAACATTTCACCTAAAAAATTATACTATAAGGATAAAAAAGCAAACCTTGATGTTGTAACCCTTTATGGATATTACTTCGGTGACCAGGTTGAGAACTCCAGGAGCATTATTGACAAGAATGTTCACAGTGTGAGACTTATGACCATTTAACTGTTTTATTAATATTAAATCTTAGTTATATATAGCCCATAAACTATTTGCTAAATAATGATTGATAAGACATTAATGAAAAATGAGAAATTGATGCATATCTTACATCTTCTTCATAAAGCACACCCCAATGGCTAATCTTTTCTACAAATACTTTTTCCAGTAAAGAAAAACAAACATTAAACCAATAGTCTTACTTGCATACAAGAACAACAACTCCCAAAAGAATGAGGTAAGGAGGAGTAAGATGTACACAAATAGTGAAAGAAGATACTAGAAGTAAAGCAGGCAAAGCTTACATGGGAAGGTTGAGTCCAGATAGTTATTCTCCCATGAAAGTTAGCAATTTTTCGGTCCTATTCACCGTTCGTGTATTTCTCACCTGGATATTTTTGGAATTCATTCAAATAAAAATTACAAAAAGAAAAAAAGTTTGAAAATATGGAATCCATGTAATTTAAAAATAAATAGACTTACGATCAAATGGCGAGCAGATAACAGATTACAATCCCGCATTGCTTGTGATTCGGATTTAAGCAATGTTTCTTGTGTGTAGAATGCGTTGTTGTGAACGTTGTCTTTTCCTGGTTCTTCAACTTTAACATCAACTTCAACAACCTAAAAATACAAAAACACAACAGATGCTTGTGTCATATATAAGACTATTAAATGGTCTCAGTTTTCTTAAAAAAAAAAAAAAAAAAAAAAAAAAAAAAAAAAAAAAAAAGGTAAAATTTCAAACCTGATTGTATGCTTCTCCAGGCTTACAATCAACTGCCATGTCCATTCTAGCAACAAAAAAAATGTTGGTTAACTGGTGCATATAGTCGTGGTGCAATTGTAGTCCCATATTTTCTAACTTCTCCTGGTTTTAATGCTCCTCAGCTTAAGATTCCAGTAAGTTTAACTTCAGCTTCAATCTTTCCATTCGACAATTAAAAAAACAAAGCAGCATTACTTATAATGTATATATAGAAACTGTTAGTTTCTTTTTTTATTGAAATAGTTATAAATAAAGTGACATGGTACCTGGCAAGGCACGAGGGCAAGATGAATGTGACCATTCAATAAATTGAACTGAATCACGTGGAGAATCTGGCATAGTTATTCAATCAAAAAAATTCATGACTTAGAATAAAGATATACCACAAGGAACACTTTAAAGAACTTTTAATCATTTGGTGAACATATTACCAAGGAAAAATCAATGCAGTTGTTACAGGTTTAAAAACTATAAATGAGGCAAAAGCACATGGACCAAAACTGTTGCAACATGTTACATGGACTAAAACTATTAGAGTGACAAAAACTGTACAAGGACCAAAACTGTAGGAACAAAAACTATAGAAAATTAAAGCTAGCTATAGATTGTTTAACTGTAATGTCTGTTAGTGAACTAAGTAGAAAAAAAACAGAAAAACATACAGTTGTTCTTTAATAAAAAATCATAGTTATCTAACCTCTCACGGAGTGGATTCCACTTTTGCCCCCGGTAATAAAATTCAAAACATCAAACAATTCAGAACCATTTTTAAACTACTCAAGGGTAATGATGTCAAATTGTTTATTACCTGAAAAGACTTCACCAACACAATACACCATCTCACCTTCTTCCTTAACTACCCTTTCAGAAACCTGTTTACTAACAACCAAAACCATCCTAATTCCCATATTAAAAGTCCTTTTCATTTCACCATCTTCAATCCCTCCAGCCTGAAAAGGGGCAAAACCAGAAACATCATTAGAAAAAAACAAATAACCAAATTTTTTTAATACCAAAAAAAACTTAAATACCTTTTGGATCCATTTAAAAACAGGGGGAACCGAACAAGATTCGCTATAAACAAGAGCACTAAGCCCTATACCGAAAACACGAGAGATGGTATCTATGAACCCGCCACCCGGTATGTGTGCAATTCCTTTTATACCCTTATTGCTCGCCTTGCTTATGATATCAAGCACTTGTTTTACATATATTACAGTTGGTTCCATTGAGGCTTCCGCTAATATAACTAATTCTTCACCCTAGAGATTCTTTCCCAACTTACCTTTCATTTTTTAAAAAAAAAAGATTTTTATTGTATTGTATGCACTTCATCCTAAAATTCCTTTTATTGACTTCACTTGACAGGTGGTTTTTCAATGTAGTTGGAGATCAAGGTGTCCAATATCAGATACCTGGTGGCAAAAAGAGATAAGAGGCTTCATGGTACACCCTTTACCCTTCCTTATACCTACAAACTAGGAACAACTAAAACTATACTTAAAGAAACCCAAGATAATTGCTATAAAGTTTATAGACGTGTAATATGAACAATCAAATGCAGAATACAAGTGAAGTTTAGTTACTGATGCTTCAAGTCATTTATGTGATCAGTAAGTGAAAATAACAAGATAAGGATTCTTGATACTTCAAGTCATTTAAAAGTCAAACATGTATGTGATCAGTAAGTCAAAATGACAAGACTTGTATATAAGCAAAACATACACCATCTGTTCCCAAAAAGGAGTGAAGGAAAATTAGCATAATATACCAAAATATGGAAAAACGTTTTTTTATATTTGTTTATTTAATTTTTCTTCCAATACGTTTTTCAAAAAACGTGAATGAAGATGCTTTTCATACGTTTATTTAAAAGACATTAACAATTCTTATTCTGATTCTAGAATTGTTTAATTTAAGTCAAGCATTTCATCGAATGGCTAGAATGCATAAATTTTCTTTACGAATAGACGAGAATCAGAGCATGGAAAATGAAATTAAACCAAATCGATGATAGGATTGTATAAAGTAATGTAACAGATCTATTCATACCTTGGAGTCAATGCCTATCCAGAGAAAGGTTAGAAGGCTAGTGAACAATGTTAAAGAATCTCAACAGATGTCGAACCCTAGAATGCTAAAGAACATGTTAAGCTCTAGAATGGTCATGAATGGTTGAAGAAATACGATGTAGGAGGTAAGATGTCGAGATATTGATTAAGCTTGTCGAACCCTAGATGGAATCACCAATTCTTAGCAACTCTTCTAGAAGTGAAAGTTGTGGCAGCCGCACCTCACACACAATGTGCGTGTGTGTGTCTTTTTCCTCCTTTTTTACGTTCTATGTGTCTTTGTTCCTAACTCGCAAAGAAAAGGAGAGAAATCACCAACTCCTCTGCAAGTGAAATTTGTGTCTCGTTTTGTCCTTCGATCGTGAGAGAGAAAAATGGAGAGAAATTAAGATAGCTAGGGTTGCGGATGATCGTGAGAGAGAAATGGAGAGAAATTCAAGCGGGTTTTCAAAATTTTGGGGATTTCATTTCCCCAGTATCTATTAAACGCGCCTTTCATTAAAAATATAAAGCGACACTTATAGAGGGCACACATTTAAGATACAACGCCCTCCGTGTTTTTAATTTTTTTCTTTTGACACTAATTTAAGGGCACGCAATAATGCGTGACCTACATCCTTAAATTTTTTTAATAGATGACACTTTTTTAATATCACTCTCTTTTGCGTAACATAAATCATTGAGTGTCGTAATTTGCGCGTCGTAAAAGGGTCTTTTTCTTGTAGTGCAGCATTCAGGCAAAGGGAAAATCTAACCATAACATACTCAAGCAATCATATCCACATAGCAAGAATCCGAACTAGCATGAAACACAACTCATAAACTCAGGCATAACCTAAACAGACTATCCTACTACTATCTATTCAGCACTATCATGCAGATTAAAAGCACATATAATAGGCACATAATGCATCATCCCTAGATCCTTAGTCCTAATCTAGCATGTTGTTCTATTAACTAGTAATCAAAACATAGACTTGTATCGTTATTTTGAGGTACTTACTTGAGCTCGGTTGATTGCATGCACCACACCTCTTTTCTCTTTTCAAAGTTCTTTTCTTTCTGAATTATTTTTACTTTTCTAAAACCATTTTCTTTCTCGAAACTCTCTTTTTACAAAACCGTCTTTTCATTTTGAAAACTCCCATACCAAATCCTCAGTTTGAGTTCAGACACACCCGAGAGCATGTCCAAATCCCTCAAACCAAGGCTCTGATACCAACTTGTAACGACCCAAAATTGAAGACCAAAAATTTCTTTTAATAAATCATTACTTAAAGTAAAGTCATCATTCCAAAACATAATATGAGTATAATTTTTCAAAACACATATTCATTATCAGAGTAAACATTCCCAAGCTGTCTAATCTATGGTGTCTGCCATGCGATCAACCCGAGCTCTTCCCTCCGCTACCGGAAGTACCTGAAACCAAAACTGAAAACCGTAAGCACGAAGCTTAGTGAGTTCCCCACCGTACCACATACCATGCATAACCATATATTGCACATACTGTCACACCCCCAAACCAAGGATGGCGGAAACGTCCGGGGGTGGAGAACTTTATGTACAGTATCACAACAACGAATATAATAGTGCTCGAAGTAAATACAACCACCATATATATAATTGAAAAAGTTACACCAAAGTATATGTTTACATGTTTCAAAAGCAATTACATTATGATAACAAAAATAAATTGTTGACGGTTTAATGTCCCATCCTCAAAGCGATGAAGTTTTCCTGTTTCACTGATTTCCTGAGAATACAAGTAGTTTTGAAAAGTGTCAACAATTAAGTTGGTGAGTTCATAAGAGTTTTGTTTGAAGTAGAAACCGTTTTTCCTTGTAAAATCGATATAGTTTGATTTGCAGAAAATCCAATATTTTCTTAGTTAAGTGTGAATAGAAATATTCCTTTATGATGCATTAATGAACCCTAGAATGACCCGTAGAGTTCCTCTATAATCGTCCAGCGTATATAAGTTATATAAGGTTTAAATTAGATAAAACGTTGAATATAGTGGGTCTGCCCTAGGTCCACAACCAAACAAGGAACAGGAGATGAGGCAGGCATCACTAATTCTAGGCCAATCGAGACAAAATTCTTATAAGACTCAAACATGTACGCTCAGCGATTATAGTTGAAGTCTAACAGTTCTAGATGCAATATAGTTTTAATATCATAATAACTATCTTAAGTGAACCTGGTACTTTGTATCGGTACCCCCTTTTTGTGTAAAGACCCGGCACTTTGTATTTGTACCCCTTTTTATATAAAAACCGGCACTTTGTATTTGTACCCCTTTTTGTATAAACCCGGCACTTTGTATTTGTACCCCTTTTTGTATAAACCCGCACTTTGTATTTGTACCCCTTTTTGTATAAAACCGACACTTTGTATTTGTACCCCCTTTTTGTACGAGTATGTTATGTAAATGATCATAAACTATACCTATTATAGTTTATTAAAATGTTTGAAATGTATATGTACCCTAACTATACCTATTATAGTTTAGTATATTTCTTTGTGGTGTTTAAGAATCCCACTCTATGTAAGTCAAACGTATAGTACGATATAACTATGATTAACTTGCTTTGTTTTGTACTAATGATTATGATGGAGGATTCTTATAAATTCAGCAAGTAATTTCCTATTATATAAATATATCATAACAAGAAATACATGTAAATATGAAGTTATCAAAGATTTAACACTTTGCTCAACATGTTACAAAGTGTTTTGATAGTTAGAAGCTGTTAATTAATTCTTAGTCTTTCAGCACTGTTTTAGAAAAATCATAGAAAAATCATACGAAGTCGAAAACTAGATCCGTAAATTCTGAGAGTTCTCAAAATGTGTCTAGTTTACTCATAATTTTTATCAAGATTTTTAATGACCTCAAACTTGGGTGAAAAAGTCCATAATCACAGACTGGTCCGGATTGATGTTTGAAATGATAGGCAGTTTTGTAAAATTCACCATAAATTGTAGAAAAATCGTATGGAGATGTGCAAGTAGTCATTTTAAAGCTAAGAACTTGAACTATTTGCACCTTGTACAGTTTTGAAAAATAAAATGTTTAAGTTGTCCAAAACAGTCCGTGAATGGAGTTGAACTTTTCTGATGAAGGCTGTTAAAAATTTAGTTATGTTCTTTGTTTTAACTTGTATTCCCCCCCTGAAAACTTGAGAAAACATGAAAATGTAGGGGTATGAACTCACCTTGAGTGATTTCAGTAGATAAGTGTTGAAGAAGAGAAGTGTTCAACCCAAGAACACTTGAAGAATCACTTGAAGATTGAAGCTCTAAGCTAATATGATGGAGTTTGTGTAAGATATTCATGATTTGAGTAGAATGAAGTGAAATAATCATAAGGAGGATGAATTATACTTACTAAGAGTGGAAGAACACTTGAAAATCAGCCTTGAATCTCGAAATTGGAGTGGAAAAGTTTGAGAGAAAAGTGGTGTTTGATACTTAGTGAAATGAGGCAAATGAGAGAAATGAGGAGAGAGGATGTTTGTTCCAGCTCTAAAAACGTGGGAATGAGTGTAAATTGAGTGTGAGGGACATTGAAGTGACCTAGGTAAGGTGGGGAGGTGTGGTTAGTCAAAGAGGGGTGGGGTGGTTGCTTGTGACATTGGATAAGGCAAAGTCAACACTCCACCTTTAATAATTCACCCATTTGATTTTTATTATTTAGATAATGATTTTCATCAAAATATGTTTAAATTATGAATATTTAGAGTTTATTATGTTAAAATATAATTTCTGGAGAAAATCCCGCTTTAAAATCACGAAAAACGGGCTTAAAATGTTAAAAATATCAAAAATGGGCTAAAAGTGACAAATTTCCGAATTCTGGCCGAGGTTCGGCCTTCTGATGCTGAAACCGAGAGAGAGGAGAAACCGAGAGGGAGAAGAGAGAGGAAGGAACCGAGAGGGGGAGAGAGAACAGGGGCGCGAAGAGACAGAGAGGAGAGAAGGAGCAGAGACCGAGAGAAGAGAAGAGACAGAGAGGCGGAGTAGAGACCGAGAGGCGGTAGAGACAGAAAGTGGAGAAGCGACAGAGACCGAGGCTCGGTCCTCGCGTGCATTAGCCAACAGAGGCTCGGTCCTCGCGCTTAGCCAACAGAGGCTCGGTCCTCGCGTGCCTT